CTTTCAGCTAATTGCAATCTACTTCTCAACTAGTCATTCTTTCGCCCCAGGCTGCAACCACATAAAACCAAAGCAACTCTTTGGATGACAAATGCCAGTCAAACCAGTTATTTAGTATCATGTAATTTTAAATGACCCACAGGTGCTCTGAATATTTTTTAACAAGTCAGAACGGCGTGATAGATTGATTCCAGATGTAACGTGGTAAAATTATTCTCTCCGTAAGTTGGACCTGCCATGTGCTCCCTCCCAGTTGGTGTCGGGGAGCGAGTAAGGTTAGGCTGTACAGTGAAGGGAGTGCGTGTGTTTGTACAAGAACGCCATCTACAACGGATAAATGACGAGTAAAACTAAGTTTTGGAAACAAAACCATGTTCTCTTACCAGCTAAGCGAAATCCCCCAACTTAAGAGCAAAATGGGGGAAAGAGGAAGGTAAAATGCATTTCCTTAGGATCACATGAGACCATGTGTATGAAAATGATGCTCTGCAAAATGCAGGTGCCGGCCAAACGTTTGTCATCGTTAGAGTCTAGTCTGTGGAAATGAAACCACAAGATAGGCTATCAAACCAAGCATTCTTGTATGTTCAACAGTATAAAACATTTCTTTCAAGTGATTTGGTGGTGGCTTTCTTTTGATCTAAGTGCAGGACTTAGTATGTCATGTTCCTCTTGCAATTATTAAGCTGATAGTAATGTTCGGATAAGAGATACACATTTCTTTCCCAAACTCTCCAATTGCCCCATAACCAAGGAATGCTTAATATACGTTATAACACAGTATGTAGTCCTTAGGATCTTCTAAATAAAGATATCCAATAAAACGACTACTTAATTTTCAAGTGCAAGTTGATCAATGCACCTATGTGATGTGTTTAATGAGGGCATAATTTTCCAGGGTGGCACTACGAAAGTTTTACTGAAGGTCAAAACTTCTGGTCCCAAGTAATTATATTGAAAAGAATCAAAAAGCATATAAGCAGACAGGAGCTAGGCTTTAAAAAACAATTTTAAAAGCCTTTACTCCCATTGGCAAGAGCTGCTCTAGTGCCTCTCCCTCTTCTCGCCTATTTTCTCTCCTCTTCAATGATTATGCCAAAGCGTTTTTACTATCCCATGTTCCTTGCTTAACACCTCCTCTCATTTGCCTTTTGTGGATGACTATGCATCTTACTTCCTTAAGAAACTGAGGCCACTGGTCACCATCTCTCTCAATTTCTGCTCCCTGACCCCCCATACTACCTACACCCGTATCCATGTCCCTGACCCCCCATACTACCTACAGGCGTATCCATACCCATCATTCTTTTCTAAACCTGCTTTACTTTTTGTTGATGCTCTTTCGCTTTTTCTTATCACACCTGCCACGTTATGCATATGTTTCCCCTTGGGTTTCAGAATGATAGGTAGACTCTCGTCATTGACCCATGCATGTCACTGTTTACTTATACAATTAGCTAGTTATGTGTTTGTAACTCATTGTTCAACATGGAAACTAGAAATACAAATCGTTATGCATGTATAGAATTTTAAAATTAAAATAGAAATTCTGTTTCTCCACCCCCAGTAGAACGTAAGCTCCATGAGTACAGGCACTTTGTTTTATTTGCCATCTGTACACACAGCGCCTGGAATAGCGCCTGGTACATAGGCACTTATAAGTGAAGTAAGCACTGCATATTTTATACGGATGATTTCAAGGGTAATGTAACTATCAACATGTCTCAAGCCAGAATTAAATCCCCACGTCCCCTACCTCTGTTCTCCCTTCTCTCTCTACACTCCTTTCTTTTGAGTGCTCCCTCCATGCCTTTGCTCGTGCTGACTTCTCTGCCTGGAGGAGACGGCTCCCTCCCTCCCTTTTGGCCTCGGGACACCTGTATAACTCCTTCAAGAGGCTCGCCACTCACCTCCTCAAAGATGCCTTCAGTGTCCCTTCCTTTCCCTCTCCCATGTCACGCTCTGTCCCTGTGCGCACACACTGTGTTTCTCTAATGACCTTCTCCGAGAAGCTGAGGGCTCCTTGAAGTTCAGGAAGCAAATCCAAGACCTCACCTCTGATCTTTTCTCACATCCTTAGGATGTAATTTAAAGCGGGCATTAATGCACCCAGATGACAGACTGAGAAACAAAAGGACACTTCACCCAGGTTCAGAGCAGGAGGGTAAGCCCAGAACCCTCAAGCAATCATCTGCAGAGCTCTGTCTTCCTAGCGCTTGGATGGGGGCGGGGTCTCCCGCGTCTTCGCGTAAACATTGTTGTAAGTCTGGTTTCTCCCTTGGCCCCTCTGGAGGGTAACCATGGATACTACTGAGCTGGCACAAAAGCCTTCAGCTAACTGGGTACTACAAGTGGTTTTCAGGATGCTTAGAGGGTTTTGAGGCAAGGGGCAAAACCTGGGAACACTTGCAAAGGCAGGACTGTTGCCTCAGGTCTCTGGGCTGGGGATATTTCAGTTAGGATGGACGCTAACGGTGCGCAGAGCCCCGAAGGGGCGTCAGGACTCTAGCCGGGGCTAGGGTATTAACTAGCTGTGAGTCCAGAACCAAAGGCAACCCCAGCGGGTTCCTCTTCTTGGAAAACAGGGACCCCGCTGTGAATCAGGAGCGGTGGGCTGACTCAAGCGACGCCGCACACCACCGGGGCTCCCGAGGTGATCCAGGCCACAGCGCCTGGAGATTAAGGGATCTCCTGTCCCAGGTCAGGGGGAGCTCCCAGATCCCTCAGTCTCCACGCCCCTTCCCACGTCCTCGCCCCAGGGGTGTTCCGCTCCTTCCAGCCCAGGACCGCGGGCCAGCAGGAGAAATTCACACCAGCGCCGTCTCCGGGAATCGCCCGGCTGCTTGCAGCCCTTCCTGAGCGCGGGGAGGGCGCCCAGGTGCCTCCCCCGGCTTTCAGAGTCCCGGGTCTTCTCTCGCACCTCTCTGTTCTCAAACAAGGCACGGCTGGAGAGTGGGAACCCGGAGCATCCCTCTCCCTCCCAGACCGGCTCGGGGCTGGGTCCCAACTTCCCAGTTCCCGCGCGCAGCGACGCGGCGCCCCAGGGCGGCATGCAGGCTCAGTTCCGCTGGGTGGAGGGAGGGTGGGTCACGGTCAGCGAGGCGGTGTGTGGCCAAGCCTGCTGACTTCCTGGAGGGAGATCTTCAAGGGAGGGAGGGAGGAGGGTGTGGGAGACGGACTTGGGGGCGAGCGGTGGCGGCCGTTGGCCGGCGCTTTGACGTAGACTCGGCAGGCGCGCAGCACTCCCACCGCTTAAGAAGAGGCGCCCGAGCCGCCGGGGCGCTGAAGCTGGGGCCCTCCGCTCGCTCCCGGAGCAGCCCGCGCCTCCTCTCTCCACGCGCTCGCGGGGACCCAGGCAGGGCTGAGCAGGTACGTGCGGAGGGGCGCCCTTCTGTCCCCTGGGGGTAAAGGCGTGGAGTCAGGCTAGTGGGGCGCAAAGACGCGCAGAGGGTCCCCGGCAGCTCAGCTCCGAGGAAGGTGAGGCCGTGGGACCAGGTGCGGGGGCGAGACGCACCGAGCTCCGCGCGGGACTCAGCGGGGCGCACGGAGGACCCCGGGGCTGGGGAACTTCCAAGCTCCAGGAGGACGGGATCCCCTAAGGGAACCTCAAGGAGCCACAGCGAGCGCTGCGGCCCCGGCTGGCGGGGAGAGCCGCACAGCGCCAACTTCAGCACGCTGGACAGCGCCCCGCCCTCGGCCTGAAACTTAGCGGGGACACCTCGGACTTGTCCCCTAAGGAAAAGCATTCTCGGGGACCCTCGACTTTGCTAGTTTAGTTCAGAAGAGGGCATATCGAATATAATTTTGCTCAGGTAGTCATCTCGTGCAAATGATCTGAAATATAGAGAGCATTTTTGAGTCATGTTGTATCTCAACGTACCTCTTCAAAACAGGAACGTACATATGTATTCAAATACCGATTTCAGGGTGTCTCAATACGTCCTCCTGCTGTGCAGAAGAAAAATATTCTATATTATGGTATATTATCATTGAATGTTTCAATGTGCCCTGCTTACCTTCATGATACTAACATCGAAAAGGTTTGGAAATATAAGATAAAGTTGAAAGTGAGCTGGATAAGCCCTCTTGGGTTTTTTTCTTTACATTAGAGTTGTAAAATGAGATACATTTTGTATAGTCTGTGAAGAGTCAAATAACCTTTTTTTTTTTTTCTGGGAAAAATTTAGGTTACTATTATAAGAACATTATTTCTCATTGCACTTGTCTGAAGTGTAACATAATTTCAAAGAGGTATATGGATGCCTTGATTTTATTGCAACAGGGCTTTGATAGCCAGAAAAGTTCAATAAGAGGAAAATTATTTTTGTTAAAATTCTTGAGATTTATAGCAAGAAGAGAGAAATGAAAAAACATCATCTTTATAAAAGTTATATCAGAATTGGAGAAGATTTTATCTGTTGGTAAAATGTCTATTGAGTTTACTCTAAATGAGTTAAATATATGTCCCTTGGCTCACATACTTTTTTAGCACACTATGTCCTGTTTACTTTTATTTACAGCGTTTTACAATTCTTATACCTTTTAAAAAAAATTAAAATCACCCTGAATAGGAAAGCATCCAAGGGTGAGATATATTAAAATTCTTAATTGCATGGGAGTCCTTGATTAGGGTAGCTAAGCAAATTACAATATTGCAGAATAATGAAAGCCTTGCAACAAGATTTTAAAGTTGCACTTTATACTTTTTTAAACTATATTCCTCTACTAAGGAAAAAAAAGTTCACTCATTCATCTTAGAGGAATATATCTTAGGAGTACATGTTTCTTAGTCTATTAGTCTTAGTTGTACACTATCTGGCTGAACAATGAACCATTTTAGATAGAATGGTGCTTGTGATATGGGAGGAAGGGTAACACTTTTCCTAAGACAATGGTGTGTTTCCTTTGTTGGCACCAAAAGGCATAATTATTTTCTTTACTGAGTGGAGCACAAGCAGGGATTCATATGTGATATTTCCATCATGTGCATTTTCAGGGCCATGGCTGATCCTGGAAACAGAGGAGGGATCTACCGCCCCTTGAACCTTACCTGCTCCCTGCTCATTGTGGGGATGTGCTGTGTGCCTCCTTTCTTCTGTCATAGCCAGGCAGACCTGCTGGCTCTTAACCAAGCTGATCCCCAATGCTGGGAATCGTCCTCAGTGCTCCTCCTGGAAATGCGGAAGCCTCGGATTTCCAACTCTGTGTCAGGTTTCTGGGATTTTATGATCTACCTGAAGTCATCTGAGAACTTGAAGCATGGGGCATTGTTTTGGGATCTGGCCCAACTCTTCTGGGACATCTATGTGGACTGCATCCTCTCCAGGAACCATGGCTTAGGAAGGAGGCAATTGGCCGGGGAGGAAGAGAGGATCTCTGCAGTGCATCCACAGCACACAGGGAGGAAACAAGGTGGTCAACCCCAGGCCCCAAGTCCTGAAGGGGTCAATCAAGTATGGGTCTGCTGAATTGCGAGGAAGAGAGAAGTGGTTTTAGAAGAGTCCATTGCCACATATATTCCTCTCGGGCGAACCCTAAAGGCACACACGTGATAGGAAGATAGATAGTACTTCCTCTTGTATTTCATGTTAGCTTCTTACATGAACATATGGTCTTCATCCTTATACTTCAGTGACCAGCAGCAAGGAAAAGTCAGAAAGACAAGTAAGGGGAAAGCACAGGTCCCAAAACGCAACATAAAATTGTAAAAGGATGCCCCCAAATTAACACTATATTTTTTACCATTAGCCAGAATATTGGGTCATAACTTGTGTTTATTTGCTATGGACGTGGGAAGATCTGAATATAAACCTGGGGAACATTCACAACACATAAACTGTTGCCACTTTTAAATAAAACAAATAAACACATTGCTTTCATGTAAATAGAAGGGCTCCTTGAGATGTACTTAGTTGATGAAGTGAAGGATAGAAAAAAAATGGCCCCCTCATTGCTTTTAAATCAAATCTCAAGTAATTAATTTCCAGCAAGCGGAATAATTAATATTTAATAATTTGAAACTTTCTACAAACTTAGAGGTTTTTCACTTAAGTAAATATTATATTAAAATTTAGTCTTCTCCAGGGGCACTAGAAGAAATGTCTTTTCTAGAATTAGAATGAGGGATAATTAGTCCCGGAGTAAGTTGAGAGATACCCTAGCCCTATACATATTGCTTCTGTTCCCTTTTTGGTGGTGTTTCAACTAATGAGCTTCCAACATTTACAGCAAGGGCTGTTTGAGTGGTAGCGAATTATTAAATTAGAATTATATAGTTCAATAATTAAATTATATAAATTAGAATTATTTATACACAAGTGGAACACTAAGGCATAACTAATTTTTATATATTATTTTATATTATTATATTATTTTAGCAAGTGTTATTGTAACTTAAACCAATTTTCTTTTTTAGAGAAATATATTATTTTAGCAAGTGTTATTTATTGTAACTTAAACCAATTTTCTTTTTTAGAGGAAATATTCTTTCAGCAGCTTAGCTACTAAAGTAGAAACACAAAATGAGTGTCTAAATGTTGGTTATCAATATTTAAAAAATATTTTGAACAGAGACTGTCAAAACATCAGCCTCAGTAAGGACTGTATATTTTCCTCATGTGCGCTGTAGGGCCCTTTCTTCCATTCCTATCGTATTTAGCTGTTGTACTCATCTTTTCTCTCTTTTTTTGGTATTTTGCATTTACTTTGAATTACTCAAGTATCTATAGAATAAGTGAAAATAATTGGGTTCAGCTGAACATGAGAAGAACCATATATCCTTTCTCCGAAACAGCTTTCAGTTTGCCTGCTTGCAACAAGCCTGTCAGAATAGTCTGAGACAGTTTTGTTGAGCATACTTCAACATGGCATTTCCATCTTCTTTTAACTTCAACTTTGGAAGCCACTTCCTTCCTCTTGCTACAGAGTTGCTATTGACCCAGCTGGTCTGCAAACTTGAGCTGGAGTTGCTATGCAAGTAGCAAGAGTGAACATTTCACTTTATTGAAGTTATTCTAACATTTGACATAAGCAGTTGTTTGCAGATCAGGAAACAAGACTTTCCATTTGGTTTGTACAATTATAATTGAAGAGTGTCTTGGGTCAAGAAGACACCATATCTTAAAGTTAAATCATAGCAGGAACATCGAGATTTCGTCTCAAGAGGCTTGATTAAATCTCTAGTGGCTCCACTGGCCCTGGATGTACCCGCACAAATTCTGCACTAGTTTTTTCTTTTGCTACCAGGTTGGGATGGGGGCGAGGGTGAAGAGGTGTTAGTCTCTATGGTTCTCAGGGAAACTGAATCATCAGAACAGAAGAAAAGAACTATAATAGTTGCCTGCATAATATGCAAAAGGTTCTTGTTACTTTGATGTCTTGGAATAAAATAGTTTAAATGCAGTTGAGAAATGTTGCTTTAAATCCTGCTTTGTTAAAAACATAAAACTCCTATATAACTGTGTATGTTAATATATCACATTTGTTAATATTGGGTCAACAAGTATAAGCAATAGATATCAAATAGCTATGTAATCGGGCAAGTTAATTAACTTATTTAGCCCTCAGTGTCTTCATCTGAAAAAAAGGGGTATGGACAGAATTAGATGACCCATAATGTCTCTGCAGGGTCTCTGTTCTAATGTTCTGCGAGTCTATAAAAAGAAATGTACAAAAGGCATGCATTTAACTCTGGAAAGAACCTGGAAGACCTTTACCCCAAGGACAGCTTACTGACCTGGGTGATGGGTGACCTGGACAACGTGGTTCTTTATGACAATGATAAGCAGGAAGAGAGGAGGTCTAGGATGAAATGAGAATTCCAAAAAATCTGAGGGCTAGAGATATCATTTGAGGAAAACCCCCTCAAAAGATCATTGTTATTTAGTGTGGGACGATATGAGCTAGTAATTGAATGCTGAAATATCTGGAAGGTGTGAGGACGGTGTACCAAGGCTTACCCACTAAATTCTGATGAATTACGTGAAGGCAGAGAGGGAGAGGGAAAGGGAGAGAGAGAAAGAGAAATGTATTGATTTAGGAAAAGAGTAGGCTGATGATAACTCCCGAATAGAAAAGAACAGCGTTGGATTAGCAAACACTTCAATGCACATGGAGGGATTTTAAAGTGTATCCTTGTTTGCGTCAAAAATGACTGCCTCTTCCTTTAACGAATCTTACTCTGCCAGAGAGGAACAGAAAAACTTGCCTGCCTGGGGAGCTTATGTTTTTTAAAAATTGAGTCTTTGTTTTCTTCCATGCCAAGAAAATTGAAATTTAGATTTATAATTTGATGATGTTTGCAGTTGGTGTACAACTAGCTGGCAAATTTCATGCTGCTTATTTTTTAATCAGAAGAGAAAACAATGCTTCAGATAGATAAATAATTAGATTCACAAATGCTTGATTTCCCACTTTACTTCAAGAAATTTCTTAAGGAACATATTCAGGTATTACCCATCTAGAAATCGGTTCTAAGGAGACATTCAGAGGTATAACCTACGATGCAGTATGAGGCTCTTCACTGCAGTGTTATTTAGAGTAACAGAAAATTTGAAAATTGTCTAATTGTCCCATAATAGGGCAATGGTAAACTAAATTATGGTGTAAAGTGTGTATGCATAAAACTATGGATATTTCTGGAAGATTATATTAAGGGTGGATTAACATTTTTTCTTCACATTTTTATATCAAAAATTATATAATGACCATTTTTATTTTTTTAATCAGAAACATCTTAATATTTGTTAATAACAAATATACTTATTATAATTTACTTAATTTATATTATATAACTAAACTGCATAGGACATAAAACTGCATAAACACAAATTTACATATACACTTCTGCAGTAAATTTATACAGAATTTTGATAGAGTGGCAGAAATAGCAAACTTTCCTTTTAAAACCAATATACTGATATTTAATTAACCTGAAAACAATTTGGAGACTTAATGATTTGTTCCTTTTCTTTACTTCCAGGTGCATATTCTCAGCAATTACAAATCCCTTCCCCGAAGAAGAAAGAGTTGATTGAAGATTTGCTAAGCCTGTACGTGCGCAGCAAGGTTGGAAAAGCAAGCAGTGGCCCGGAAATAAAGAGAAAACAAATCTAACTTCAGAGCTAACTCAAGTCATGGAGTTTTAAAAAATATATTTTTCTTGACTGTTGGTCATTTATTTACTTGAAATGGTGGGAATGTCCAGAGAGAAATATTAAGCCACTCTCCGAGTACTTAGTTTCATTCTTGTAGGCCGCTAGCATGTTCCCTCAAATGGTGACATTGCTGCCAGATCATCCCACAGGCTGAACGACTTAAAGGAGCTTTCAAAGATGGGTAAGGGTGGAGGCTTACTCAGATTCTTCGTGTTCATTGTGACCATTTGCTTTGGGATGCATGACATTGTTAATGAGCTAGAGTGCCATACATTTAACTTGAACACACTGCATGACTTACAAGCAATTAACCACTGGATTGCTTATGCACAGGCATATAAAGGACTATATTTATTAATTACCCGTTACTGAGGACCTATGATACCTGAATCTTGTTTGAAAGAATATTTTTGAATATTTTGAACTAAATGAAGCAAAAAACAAAGCAAAAAAATAAAAACCTGGTAAATAAAGGATTCTTCTAATGGAAATACAATTAATAAAAAGCTCTGGACCCCAGTAATATTACTGAAGTCTCTTTATTTCAATATTTAATGCTACCATTAATGATAGTCAAATCACAAATAAAATCACATGAAGTATGTTATTTGTGAATAAACATATTTTCTGTCTGATTAACTATTAAAAGTTCATAAATGGTCAGATTCTGCATTGAAAAGCAAGCTAAAAGTAAAACAAACAGCTTTATATGAAAATTACCTGTAAAATTTTTCCCCTTAAAATGACCAGCCTGAATGAGGTTCATAACAGAGAAGACCAATTAGCAAATTTACCTGAGCTCCAGACACATTGCTCTTTTCATCTCATATAATTACTCTCATTTCTCCAATCGTTCTGTGATAACCGATGATTGACAACCAGTTTGAATTTCAGATATGTTAGCAGTCCACTTGCTTTTTCCAGGTCCAAAGGAAACCTCGGGGAATGTTTTCACTGAAGGTTTAGGGCCCTCCATAAGCTAAAATTCTTATCTAAAGGGCTATCATTGGAAGACTCAGCAGCGTCTGAAGGTTAGCCAACCTCTATAGCTGGGGAAGCAAACCTGGGGGAGGGTCTGGGAAGGGCCCAGCCCCGGCTTCTCTTGGTCAGGAGAATGATCTGCCCAGAGGCTGCCACTCTTCAGCTGCCATTTCTACATGGGCTCATGGTTTTGCTTTCATGGCACTTTCTCTAATGTCTTTAATCATATTCTTAAAAAACATCACATAAACTCATCACCTCTTAGAAACTGTTAAAAGATGCCACCCTCACAATGCTTGCAATGCCTACACCTCACTCCTATCTCATCTTGGTCTACACAACGGGAGCTGCCCGATTTTTCTGTAAAGCGTCAGATAGTAAATATTCTATGCTTTGTGGGTCATCCAGTCTCTGTAGCAACTCACCAGTTCTGCCTCCATAGAATGAAAGCATCTGTAAACACCTAGATAAATGAGCATGACTGTGTTCCAACAGAGCTTTGTTTATGGACCCTGGAGTTTGAATCCATATCATTTACAAGTGTCATAAAATAATTATTCTTCATGATTATTTCAATTATTTTAAAAAAATGTACTAACCACTCTTAGCTCATAGCCTGTACAAAACTGGCAGTGGGCAGGACGTGGCCCGTGGCTGTCACTTGCTGACTGGTGCTCTGGGCATGCTTACCAAACTTGTAAGGAACAAACTGGGATGAGGGAAGAAGGAGAGAATACATTAAGCAACAAAACTAAAATAAAAAAACTTGGGATAAGCTGAAAAGCAAATGCAAAAATATTAGGATGCGATTGAACAGGGCTAACCCAGTCCTAATCCTATCTATACAATTGGACATCACTTCACTCTGGAAACAGTACTAGAAATTATAGATCATATAAATAAAAACTCAAAGCCTCTCTCAATGTAGCATGGACTACACATTAAGATAATAGGTAAAACAATGAAACCATAACAATATTTATTGAGAGAAAGTACAGAGCAGTGGTTAGAGTACAGGCTTAGGAACTGGATTTGAATCTCAGCCTCTTTAAGTACTGACCAAATAACTTTGGACAAGTTGTTGACCCTCTCTGTGCCTCAGTTTTCTTATAAAATATTTACTTGCTAGGTTTGTTGTGAGGATTAATGAGTTAGTACATACAAGGTGCTTAGAAACCAAGTGCTCTAATAGTAAAAAAGTTAGCCATTACTTTGGACATTATTAAGTTAAACATCTACATCCTAATTATACATACAGAGAAAGGAGGCACACAGGTACTTTGGCCAAACTCATTGGAAGTGGAGTCTTACAGAGAAATATTCATGTTTTAAAAATACACTTGAGAGCATTGTTGATTTATATACAGTTGTAAGAAATAATACAGAGATATCCTATATACACTATATCCAGTTTCCCTCAATGACAATATCTTGCATAACTTAGTATAACAATACAACCAGGAAACTGGTACAAACCAGTTTATTCAGATTTCACCAGTTCCGATTGCATTCAATTGTGTGTATTTAGTTTTTCTGTAAGCTTATTCTTGAGTGAGAGCAACCAGATAGAATATTAGGTCATCAATTCAGTAATTTAAATGATATTAGAGAAGATAGTCGCATGAATTCATGTAGATCACACACCTAAATCTTATTTAAAAACTTCCAAAGTTTTTAGAGTAAGAATGGCCCTCTACCAGAACCTCAGCATGTCTAGATTTGATGCCACCTCTCCTTTCCATTTCCCTTGACCACCTCTCACTCCCAAAGGCTTTACTTTGAAGAACTAAGACACATGAATAAGGACATTGCAAATAAAATTTTCTTCATGCTTCACACCAGACTATTGAGAGAGGGGGTAGAAGGCTTAATTCTTTTAGTATAGATTTTGAAAATATGTTTCGTCATCACCCCAAGGGGCCTTTGAGAATGGATTCCTTTTCACTTCGAGTTGGGCAAGGTGATTTGATCAACAAGGGCAGAGAAGGCCCTGCTCACGCGCTCAGCTCCACGATACAGGTCCACGTTTACTGAAGACTGAGGATCTGAAATCAACAAACAGGAGAGTCCTTCAGAGAAGGTACCTGTAGGTTCTCAAGCTGATGTTTATGAAGCTCTAGGACAGGGAGGAAACAGAATCCATCTCTCCTCAGTTCCTGATGACAATGCCCTTTCTCTACGCTAGCTAGCTAATGAGATGGCTATTATTTACCAGGGTCAGTTACTAATCTGCCAGGTTGTGGATTCTCAAAAGGCATTTTCCATGACCCCAAGCACAAATCTGAGTAGTAAGAAAGCCCACTCGCTCTAGAGCAGTGGTTTCCAGACTCTGGTGTACATCAGAATCACCTGGGGAGTGTTAGAAAAGATTGCTAGCTTCTTCCCAGAGCTCTGATTGAGCATCCAGGGACTATGATGATTAATTTTATGTGCCAACTTGATTGCACTAAGGTGTCCAGATATTTGGTCAAACAGTATTCTGGGTGTGTCTGTGAGGGTGTTTCTGAATGAGGTTAGCACTGAGTAAGTAGACTGAATAAAGCACATGACCCTCCCTAATGTGGACGGACCTCATCCAATCAACTGAAGGCCTGAATAGAACAAAGTCTGAGTAGGAGGATTTCTTTTGCCTGACTGCCTTCCAGCTGGGCATCAGTTTTCTTCTGCCTTTGGATTCCAAGTGAAACATCAGCTCTTCCTAAGTCTTGAGCCTGCCAGCTTTCGCACTGGAACTACCCATTGGCTCTTCTGGGTCTCTAGCTTGCTGCCTGCAGATGTTGGGACTTATCAGCCTCCATAATTATGTGAGCCAATTCTTTAAAATAAACCTCTCTGTTTGTGCCTCTATCTCTCTGTGTCTCTGTTTCTCTGCCTCTCTCTCTACATATGTATATATGTATATATATGTGTGTATACACATATATATACATATATACATATACATATGCATATATCAGGAATGGAGCACAAGAAATTGCATTTCTAATAATTCCCAGGTGATACTGACGCTGCTGGTCTAGGGACCACACCTGGAGAACCCTGCTCTATAGCTATTCATGGTTTGAATAGATTCATGGTTTGAGTGGTCCCCTATAATTTGTTGTAATAATAAGGATTGTGCTATAGAAAGATCTACAGTTTGGCAGTCACCAACCAAAAGTTTTATTATGCATAATCTTTTTTCCTAAGTGTTCAATGTCTAGGAATTGGTCCTACCAACATATTCACATATGAGTACAAAGACATTTGTTATAAGAATACTTACCAAAGCATTTTTATGACAATAAAAAATTGGAAACAATTTAATTATACACCAATAAATAAATTGTGATACATTTATACTGTGGGATATTGTGCCACATTTAAAAAATGACATTGCTCAATGTCTAAGATATATTGTCAAATGAAAAAAGCAAAAGTAAGCATAACCTAACTTAAGTTGAAAAAGTAAAGACATACATGTATGTAGAAGAAAAGACTCACTAAGCTGTTAACACTGGTTACCTCTGCAAAACAGATAGCAAGGAGTGGAGGGCATGATAATTAATTCATTTTTTTCCTAATGTTTATTTATTTATTTATTTTTAAATTTATCTTTATTGTTGAGAGTATTACAGGTGTCCCATTTTCCCCCTCAATTGATCCCCTCCGCTTCGCTCCCACCCCCTTCCCAGGCCTTCACCCTGTTATTGACTGTGTCCATGTGTTATGCATATAACTTCTTTGGTTAATCTCTTCCCACCCTCCACCCCCCTTCCCTCTTTCCTCTCAAATATGATCGTCTGTTGCATGTGTCAATGTCTCTGGATCTATTTAGTTGGTCAGATTCTTTTGTTCATTGGCTTCTTCTTAAAGAAGACCCTTCAACATTTCCTGTAGTGCTCGTCTGGTGGTGATGAACTCCTTTAGCTTTTTCTTATCTGTGAAGCTCTTTGAGCTTCAATTCTAAATGATAGCTTTGCTGGGTAGAGAAATCTTGGTTGTAGTTTCATGTTTTTCACCACTTTGAATATTTCTTGCCACTCCCTTCTGGCCTGCA